TAAATCCCATTAAGGGGTTGAAGGCTCCAATGCAAATTCATAAATGGGTTAATCGAATATTCAGCACTTTCGCAGAAGTGGCCCAATACGGCTATATTTAGCAGGCAAACTAAAGAAAAATATCTATTCAAATCGCAGGTAGATAAATTAAACAACTGGAGGAACTAATTAATATACAAAATTTCAGATGTGACGTTCACCATTTCATATAGTTCGTCAAAAAGTTATCGAATAGGCGCAGGCTCTGGCGCGTGTAACAAAAAAGCGAAATCTTGATTTAAGGTATTTTTTGCCTGGTACAAATGCAAAGCAAGCTAGAACAGCAGAATTTGTTTGTACAAATAAATTTCAGGAGAGCTTGATAACCGCCTCCTCTCTTTGCATGAATAAGATAACAATTGAAGAACACAGCATTTTGAGTTTGTTTTTTTTTGATTCTGTGACAATTCAAAATGCCGTCTTCTCCAATTATTTTCTTATTCATGCGAAGAAAGGAAGCAGTTAACAAGTTATCCCGAAATGTATAGGTACGAATAAATTCTGCTGTTTTCGCTTGCTTAAAAGCTTGGTTGTTCGTTTAATATAAAACTAAGACCACGCCAGGTTGTAAAAGGAAATTTGGAAGTTGTGGGCAAATTTATTATGTGTCGTCTAACATATGACGGCCCTATCGGGAGTTGTAGTTTTCAGTCCCTGTTTACCCTTTGGTTTGTGTTTCCTTACGCTTAAAACCGTTTATGTGTTTCAATACGACATACGTTAGCCTAGCCGACTGCATTACCAAGACGTTCATTAAATGCGTGCTATGTAAGTTTTATGCGCACTATCACGTTCTCGGTAACCTGCTAATATTCATGCGAAACTGGACGAATTCGTTAAAAAGAATGCTTAGGGCATCAGAGAAGGGATCCGGTGATTCTTCCTTATATAGACGAGGAGCTTTTGGTCGTGTATTTTGTAGATTTGTCCGGCTGGATTTAAAAACAATTGTGTTTAGGCATGGTGCTCCTGGATCCATAATAGCATTGCGCGTGTTAGCGTATTACGCAAACAAGCGCTTCACGCGTGCTTGG